TTGCAGTTACCTAACAATGGACTGGACTTACAAGCACAAGTCTTTGCTGTTTCCGTGTAACTAGATGTATATATGTACAAGTATATATGAGAATGTGTACATGTATATATAACATTAATAATTTTGTAACTAGTGTAAAAAAAAATGTTATTTGCTTGGCTAAACGAACTAGAGGGTTCAGTTCCTAAACCGAATATGTGCCTCTGTAATCCTTTACACCACCGCCCACGGGATGAGTATGGGGTGCATAATAAAGAAATCACGATTCCACGAGCGCTATGTCATGGATTCGTATCCTGGCCGGGGAGGATTTACTGGGCGCAAATCCTTAACTGTAGCGTCTGTTTAACTCAACAGTAAAATGTGTACTTGGTTGTAACAACGATTCTTCGCGGCGGGGATCGTATTCCAGGGACCTGCCCGAAACGCTACGCGTACTAGTGGCTGTACAAGAATGTAACAACTCTTGTATATACTGTAAAAAAAAAAAAAAAAAAAAAAAAAAAAAAAAAAATCCCGTGTAACTCTTAAACATAGAAGGCAACAAAACTCTTCAATCATCCTTTATAATATTTAATATGGCTTCATTTGAAATATGTGTGCATTAATCTCAAATTATTACCTGTATCCTACTGACTAGCAACACAACACTTTCCCTCTCCAAGATATCTCTATTCTTCACTCATACATACATTAATACACCTTCAAATTGATTGATGGTAGAGAGGCGGGACCAAGGAGCAGATCCTGCTTTGCAAGCTCAACAAATCCACAAGGGCCGTGACGAGGATTCGAACTTGCGTCCGGGAGCATCCCAGACACTGCGAATACTCGTCAACTAGGTGAGTATTGGCCCCCGCCTCCCTCACTTGCACATATATATTCCCACGTTATACATCTCGATCCATCAGTTACACATCTAAGATTCCTCACTCAAGTTTTAGCTTGAACAAAATTTCTACATATAAAAATACATTACAATAAATATATTTAAATACTACTATAAAAGATTCACTTACACTTATTCAGTTTAGTAATCAATTTGTGTTCAGCAATAAATACTTTATTGATGGCCAGGCGAAAGTGGAGGAGAAGTCCGTATACACACATGGGTGGAGGCTTGTGGCAGTGAGCAAGTCCGAACTAGTATGCAGGCGAAGAGTCACAATAACGTGGCTAAAGTATGTTGACCAGACCACACACTAGAAGGTGAAGAGACGACGACGTTTCGGTCCGTCCTGAAGCATTCTCAAGTCGATTGTGGTCTCCGAACTAGTACTTGTAACAGTGAGAGAGTCAGTTACTACATGTTCATTGGCCCCCATCTGCCACAACCTTTACCCAGTTGTTAATGAAAACTAAAGAAAATTACAAGTTTTAGGGAAAAAAATAAATGATTCAACACACAAAAGTAATGTACTTTACAGCTTTCCCGCCGAGCAAGCGGGCTCTTCTTATAACTTAAAATAACCTATTACCTAATTAATCACAGCTGTAAGGAATATAATAGTGCAATACACAAGACATACTAACATTTTAATCAATATTTATAGATTCCAATATCTTCCATATTTTCCACAGTAGGGACATTAGTTTAATATAATTCCATCGAGGGGTCATCCTGTGGTTTCGGGGTTGTTTCTCACACTAAAAGTTCTCTTAAGTGATGGTTTAAAACAAATGTGGCTCATCTTCTGTGGGTAGTAGTGTTGTGGCCATGGAAGAGAGCGACGAGATCTGGAGGTTCATCCACACGGAGGTCTGGAATACGATTCAATTCCTCAGACATCTGCAAGTGGACAAGGACAGCTGTGGGTCAAGAGCTGAGCATCAGGGCAGTCCTGAGCCCTGTTGAGCCATGCAAGACACACTGGACGCAGACGGCACCACACGAGGTACTCTTGCATTACCTCACGTTCATACACACAAGAGTGACACAATACAAACACCAGCATACTTTCTCTTTCACAGGTGTACGATGAACAACCAGTCGCTATAATGTTGTGAGACAGATGCTAGTCAATAGTCTGAGAGGTGTACTGTACTGGAACTTAAAAAAAATAACACTACTTATTCAAAGTTTAAAGTTAAATATAGTTTTCTATCGTAAGACATCAACATTTCAGAAGATGCAAACAAGAAAACACATCTTTACAAAATGTATACATCGTCTTTTAATAAAAGTAAAGTTTTAACTCTCACAGAGAGCGAAACAAATTCACGACTCAAAATCTGGTCGTTTTTACACATCCGTCTTGCTTACCGAACACGAGAAAGTGGAACAAGATACAACACTTGGAAGAACTCTTTCCAGAGTGTCCATGTTCACTGGAATGTTTTGCCGGCGAAGATAGTACTGTGAGATTCTGTCAAGTCCGTTACTGAAGAAGTCTGAGGCAGAAGTTTTTGTTGAGGGTTCTCCAGTCGTCAATTAGCACTGACAAAACAGTCGAATGAGTGAGTGAGTTAGTGAGTGAGTGAGTGTGTCAGTTGCGGCTGAGTCACTGAGAGCTGTCTCACTGTCTTTGACTCTGGGTTAGAAGTGGCAAAGGTCTTTATACGCGAGGATCTGCACACCTAGAAGAACAGGACAAGAGAGTGCTGTTAGATAAGTGTGCGACACTCAAGTCTGCTGGCAAGATACGAAATGGATATAGGAAGGTATATCAATGTACTTAAAAGCAATGATTAATAGCATTTTTCCTCCAGTCTTTTAAAAATATGAAAAACATATAATCCACAAGTGTCATAAACAACTCCAAACCACATATATAATCAGTTCAACGATTCATTTTTACTTCCAATGTAATAATCGTGTTCCGTTTTGTCATTTGTTGCTTAATGGAGAGCGTTGGGTCTTACCTGCAGGTGCTGTGGTCGAAGACCCTGCCAGTGGTACAGTCAGACACATCACTGCACACACACCCACACTGCTTCTCGTCCCACACCTGTAAAACACCTTACTATAATTACTATGATACACAAAGTACCTTTGCTCTATTACTAAAAAAAAAAGAGTAACCTTTTATTGCTTATAAGAACTGTAAAATCGAAATAAATTAGTATCTATACCTGCTTTAGATAAACTACCAGCAAGTAATTGTAAAAGTACAAAGTAGTTAGTAGTTCTTGCTCAGTCTAACTACAGTGAAGAAAATTACAATTGCCTATAAACCATTTACTTTCGCATTAAATATTACCGTAAACTACGTACCTTGCCACTGGGACAATTCATGCGTTTCTCAGGAGGGCAATAGCAGCTACAGGCGTTTGCATCATACTTCTGGTTCTCTGTGCAGTGTTCAGCACGGACCTGTTCAATAAAAAAAATTGTTCATGTGACTGGGTCATACCTCCTAGCAAGTCTCTCTCTCTCTCTCTCTATCCACATGTATTGTGGTACTGTATATGGTGCTTTGTGCCATAAACAGCGGCAGCAAAAGTCCAAGCAATAATCAAACACTTTTCGGGGCCAGTCTCGCCCAAATTTGCACCAACATTACCATGGGGTACTTGCCCAACATGGTTGGTGATGTCACAATTTAAGAGAGAACAGTGTGCTTCGATCACATTCTGACCCCACCACGATTTTGACACTGGCTGCCAGCTAATGTCTGGCTAAATACTTTGAAAACACAAATTTCAAAATTATTTTTCTTGTAGTATTATAAAACATTAGGCATAGAGTGCCAGAAATCATCTTCTCAATTTATGGGCTATTCATGCCCGTGCCACCTCTTGGGTGGCTTAATCTTCATCAATCAATCTTTTCAATGTTCTTTGCCCATCATTACAAAAAGACATGACTTAAAGATGTCAAGACTAAGACTGGACCAATCCGTATAGCTCCCCTTCTTCCCCAGACCCGTCCACCAGAATAGTCTGTAGGGTGGGGGGGGGGGGGGGTAGGAGAGACCTGGGCAATGCCGGGTACCCCTAGTATATAACACGACTAGAAACTATCATTCAACCCATCCTCCTGCAATGATAGTATGTAGACCAGACCACACACTAGAATGTGAAGGAACGACGACGTTTCGACTTGAGAATGGTCCAGGACGGACCGAAACGTCGTCGTCCCTTCACCTTCTAGTGTGTGTGGTCTGGTCATCATACTTTAGCTACGTTATTGTGACTCATCGCCTGCTGATAGTATGTACAGTAATTATTTGATCGAAAGTACCAATATGTAGTGATGGGTCTAAACCACTTTTGTACTATTCAATATATATTGCCAGGACAAAAATAAAGGTAAAATCCAAACTTATATATTCCTAAGTCTAGTGTAGCACGTGTATGTACTTGCTAGGAGGGGTTAGGTCTTATATTTATGTTCCACTTACAAAAAAAAAAGTTTCTGATTTGACCAAAATCAATAACACAAAAAGTCAACTTTCTGGCGGTTCATCGCTACATAATGAGACACTTTCCATTGAAACGTTACTATAAGCATTTTCGTTTTAGGAGGATGGGCTGCATATTCCGTGTAACCGGTACAGACCTTAATTTCAGCACTGTGATGGATTTATGCAGGCTTATGACGTGCATAATTTACATGTAAAAGTTTCAGTGGAAACATTCATATGAATTATAGAGTCATCTTTAAAATAAATAAAACGGACATATACATAGGAACACACGCAACCATATATTCCCAGAGCCATATATATATATATATACGTAGCCATATACATATAGATACTTTATATGTGCCTCTGTATATCTAGGTAACACACACACGTATAAAGAGGAAGCTACACAGAAAATATCGTACCTTACACTCACAGAAAATATCGTACCTTACACTCACAGAAAATATCGTACCTTACACTCACAGAAAATATCGTACCTTACACTCACAGAAAATACCGTACCTTACACTCACAGAAAATACCGTACCTTACACTCACAGAAAATACCGTACCTTACACTCACAGAAAATACCGTACCTTACACTCACAGAAAATACCGTACCTTACACTCACAGAAAATACCGTACCTTACACTCACAGAAAATACCGTACCTTACACTGACAGAAAATACCGTACCTTACACTCACAGAAAATACCGTACCTTACACTCACAGAAAATACCGTACCTTACACTCACAGAAAATATCGTACCTTACACTCACAGCTACACTTCTTATGTTCCTGGACAGTAATGGTTCGGAAAATCTGGGGTCCTGCCAGAGCGCTCGTCCGCTTCTCTATCGCCAATACCTGCCCAGGGAAAGGAAAGAAATTATTTGTTGCAGATACAAGTTAATACTAAATATTTCCATCTAGGAGATGGACTTACAACTGCGTCAGTAACTACTGAAACATAAGACAATATGTGAACACAGATTTTGTTCTTCTTTACAGAGAAGTTGAGAAGTTGCAGAGAAGTTAAGAAGAAGTTGCAGAGAAGTAAAATTACAGAGAAGTTGAATAGCTTTAGTGTTTGTAAAAGTACATTGAACTAAGTACTACATTATCATTTGACTGATTCCTCATTTTCTCCCTTTTCTTAAATGGGTTAACGTGCAGTATGATCTGCATTTACACATAATTAAATTAATTGCAGAAGGCCTATTGGCTACTAAGAGACGACTCCTATTTATATCCACCCTGAGGTCATTCATATACATGTCTAAACTACGCTTGAAACAACTAGTCTACCTTACATCACCAAAACTGCATGATAATAGTCATCAATCCATGACGATGGACTAAGTTATGCCCCAGCTCGAACAATAACAGTCTCCGTGGTGTAGTGGTAAGACACTCTCCTGGCGTTCCGCGAGCGCTATGTCATGGGTTCGTATCCTGGCCGGGGAGGATTTACTGGGCGCAATTCCTTAACTGTAGCCTCTGTTTAACGCAACAGTAAAATGTGTACTTGGATGAAAAAACGATTCTTCGCGGCAGGGGATCGTATTCCAGGGACCTGCTCGAAACGCTACGCGTACTAGTGGCTGTACAAGAATGTAACAACTCTTGTATATATCTCAAAATAAGGAGCAGGGCGGTGTTCCATCAAGTAGCCATAATTTAAGGATGGGTGGCCAAACGTAACCGAGGCAGAGCCGTTTCCCTCACCATCTATTACGGTGATAGGAGGAAGGCCAAGAGGACAGGTTACCTTTAAGAGTGCACAGGTTGCTACCTGAAAGGCCAGACTAACGACCCTGCTAATGGTTGCGGATTGAGGAAAGAATGATTGGGCAAGTAAGTAATTATCACATCTTTACCATTGTGATCATTGCTGTCTTATATGTGCTGTCAATCTGTTGTATGGTGTTTATAAATCTTGTTTATCTGTATCTTTTGCTACCCAGTCTCCCAATCTTTATGTACCCAATCTGAACATCTTTACCATTGTGATCATTGCTGTCTTATATGTGCTGTCAATCTGCTGTATGGTGTCTATAAATCTTGTTTAAATTACTAATCAAGCTGTCAATGTAATCAATCAGAGCTTTAATATAACAATGTGCTTTAATATACTTACTAAGCTCTCTCATCTCATTTTTCTCTTGCAATGTATCTTTATCATTTATCAATTCTGATAGAAATTACCTACTTAAAATTATCTGTTAGATTAAGGACCTGCCCGAAACGCTGCGCGTACTAGTGGCTTTACAAGAATGTTAATACTGTACTATCCAATGTATTCTCACAAACCCAATGTACCTTCTTGTATATATATAAATAAATAAATAAATCAAAGCAGGTACCAAGCCGGGAAGGCTTGAAGGAAGACTACTAATAAACATCAGCTTTTCTATGATCTTCTTGAGGTTATCTTGAGATGATTTCGGGGCTTTAGTGTCCCCGCGGCCCGGTCCTCGACCAGGCCTCCACCCCCAGGAAGCAGCCCGTGACAGCTGACTAACACCCAGGTACCTATTTTACTGTTAGGTAACAGGGGGCATAGGGTGAAAGAAACTCTGCCCATTGTTTCTCGCCGGCGCCTGGGATCGAACCCGGGACCACAGGATCACAAGTCCAGTGTGCTGTCAGCACGGCCAACCGGTTCCCCTTGATCATGTAATATCCCCCATATTTAACATTTGATGTGATATCTAAAAGACCTATCAATGTATAATAAAATATATCAATACATAGACATTAAGATTTTTTTGTTAACTTGCTGACATTATAATTATAAGTTGTGTATCATAGATGTAATTGTTAATGTAAAAATCTCCATCTAGGTTTGTTTAAGACCTAGATGGAGAGTTTTTGTGCCATCTGTAATTCTTTTTTCCACTACCGTTCACAGGATGACTATGGGGTGCACAATAAACTAGTTGCCCTAGCAACAATCAACTAGAAAGGAAACTCGACAGGTATCAGTGGTAAGGACGAGCATGAAAGTACAGCACTAATTCTTCAAGTGTCAATAGCAAGAAAAACAACGTGCAGGTAATTCTACAGAGACCCCATATTACGAGCATGGCTGATAAAAGATAAAAATAAAGTTCACAGGTAGTTAAAAGATGTCAACAATTTTACGGAAGAGCATGTACACACCAGACTGCGCCAGGCTCCGGGCCCTGAGTACAGCACCAGACTGCGCCAGGCTCCGGGCCCTGAGTACAGCACCAGACTGCGCCAGGCTCCGGCCCTGAGTACAGCACCAGACTGCGCCAGGCTCCGGGCCCTGAGTACAGCACCAGACTGCGCCAGGCTCCGGGCCCTGAGTACAGCACCAGACTGCGCCAGGCTCCGGGCCCTGAGTACAGCACCAGACTGTGCCAAGCTCCGGACCCCGAGTACAGCACCAGACTGCGCCAGGCTCCGAGTACAGCATTAACCAGTACCTTGAACCTCTTGTTCTTGGTTTGCGTGGGGCGGCACTCCAGGTAGTGAGAGTCGCAGCACCCGCCACACTGCTTGATGTACACACACGAGGGCTTGAGAGTGACCGCGTGGGGCTCACTGTTGGGCAGCTCCACCACCACCTTCTTCGGGTTGCACTGAACCTTTTTGTCCCTCAGCAGGGCTTGCAGTTTCTTCTGATCGTTAGCTGACACTATGTGAGAGGAAATGGTATATTTTAGACCCCCAGTTCGAGCCCCTTCCCCCCTGTAACATTTTTTTTTTGAATGAGGATATTAAACTCAAGCTTGACAAAGCTCACTATTAAAGCTTGGAAAGCAACAATATTCAAACAGACTTTGTATGTAAATATACAAAAGGAGCAAAAGCAAGATGAATGGTGATAATCTTTTAGTGCCATATATAGCAACTTTTGGATAACAAAAGATACAGTTACAGACAAAACATGACAGGTATCGTTCAGACCCTTACCATGACCCGTCAAGTTAGCCATGGTGTTGGTGTCACTGTACGAGACAGCCCAGTAATAATGGGGGGTTCATCTTCATATTAACATAGAATAAATAATATATATGAATATATATTATATATAAAAGGGTACCCCCACTCTGGTGCAATGGGGTGGAAAGGGGGTACTCATAGATGATAAAAAGACATTCGGAGATCTTATTCTCTTCCTGAACATTTGTTAAAAATTCTCCCTTACCCCTTATTCCCTCCCAAGAATATTTAGCAAAAAAAAGGGGCCTTGTGTGGTAATAGGAGAATGAGACGGAGCCAAAACAGTGATCTCACAGCTTTACAGAAGCAGCCGGTCAATCTTCGTATCTTGGAAGACTTGAGAGAGGTATTTTGTGGGGGATGTCTTAGCACTAATTCTACCTGATGGACACTACGTGCAGCTGTGACACGCGACTTACGGTCCGAGTTTCTCTTGCGTTTCGGACCCGAACGGTCTGAACTTTTGCGACGGTATCTTAGCAACGTACTTTCTGTCCGTGTGGCTGGAGGTTGATTGACAGTTTTCCCGCGGCGTCCATTGCATCTTCTACTCCACCACAAAATGGCCTTGGTGCTCGTCTCCTGTAACAACGGAACACCAATAAAGCATAAATAATAGTTTTCTTCAGACTTCCATCTGGGTATAAAAGACATATCCCGCCAAACACACATACCGAAACTACGACGTTGGTACAACGTTTCAACAAGTTTTAACACCTTCTAACCAGGTTGTACAAGTTTTAACACCTTCTAACCAGGTTGTACAAGTTTTAACACCTTCTAACCAGGTTGTACAAGTTTTAACACCTCCTAACCAGGTTGTACAAGTTTTAACACCTCCTAACCAGGTTGTACAAGTTTTAACACCTTCTAACCAGGTTGTACAAGTTTTAACACCTTCTAACCAGGTTGTACAAGTTTTAACACCTTCTAACCAGGTTGTACAAGTTTTAACACCTCCTAACCAGGTTGTACAAGTTTTAACACCTCCTAACCAGGTTGTACAAGTTTTAACACCTAACCAGTTATAACAACCAATATAACAAGTTGTAACAACGTTCTAATACGTCATAAACACGTTAAGCCAAGATGTAACAACTTTATTACAGGTTGTAACAACCGGAAAATAGAGACAGTTTCGGTTTGTGTTTCCAGGGATGGGGCCACGATTCATTGAGCACTTACGAAACTTCTCCATCTTTCCTTAATCATGTCGGCTTTCTTTACATTTCTTAAGCAGTTTATGAGGTCCGAAGCACTACGAGTTTTTTTTTATAACAATAAGAACATTGGGATTAGAAGTTTAAGTTTGTAAACTGTTTACATGTAAACAAAGCCGTTGTGATTAATGAAAAATGGTTTCGTAAATGGACATGTAAATGAAGAATTCTGGCAAAAGTTTACAGACCTGCTACTTCAAGCAATGTGCCGCCAACTCCACAACTAGTCTATATATTCTTAGCCCCTTACCTTAAACTTTTATTCCTAAATATTTTTCGTAAACATTTTCTGTTGTTTATAGCTTATAGTGGAAACAAAATGACCCTTAAATTCTGTTTTTCTGAATTAGTTAATTGATATTAGCAATAAAATTATTAGATTAAGTGATTAAAGCTTAAATCCTACCAAGGGAGCCTATAGGCTTAAAGCCTATCCAAGAGGAATATCAATTCAAAGTTGAATCAACACCATCAACGCTGAATCAAACTTCGAACCGAAGCCATTCTTTGATACCGTGACTCCTGAGAGCCTCCAGGAGTGTATTCACATCTCTATGAACGATACCCATACCGCTAGTAATATGACAGCTTAGTCACTATTTACTAAACAGTCTGCGTGCTACAAAGAATCTCAAGGTTGTCCTTAACAATAACACCCACAGCTTAAGGACGACCTCGAAGCACTGCGCGAACAGTTTAGTAAATACCGACTTAGCCGCCATTATGGAAATAAGAGGCACATACCTCTTAAGTTGAGACGTAATTGCTGGAAGGTTTGATATTTACCTGGCCCGTGAAGAGGTCTCGTAGGGACTGGTACTCGCAGATCGTCTTATCCTTGGCGTAAGCCATTATCAACTCCGTCAAGTCGGTCATCTGGGACATGTTGAGAACCGCAGCCTTGGAGAACTGTCAATAAAAGGTTATACTAATATTACCGCAGGTAACCACATTCAAAATATTTATACCCATAATAATTATTAGACTACTAGCTAATATTTTAGGCCAAGAGGACCTGGTCCCTATGCCAGGGAAAAAAATGCCTACAATATGTTTACATTAAATCATACCAAAAGTAAAAACTATGCACAATTTTTTTGCCAATAGGCTACAATATTAAAATTTAATTTATTCGTAAATATTCAGCCAATCCTCCTGTTTTGGCAGTACTTATAGTAACGATGAGGACCATAGTATATATATATATATATATATATATATATATATATATATATATATATATATATATATATATATACCGACGTACAATGAAATTAGAACGTAGAAATCTTAACTATTGAATTGGACAAACCAGAAAACTATTTTTTACTTGTATTACTTTGACACACTAAACTAACCTACCCTCCCTATCTTGAGGTTATCTTGAGATGATTTCGGGGCTTTTAGTGTCCCCGCGGCCCGGTCCTCGACCAGGCCTCCACCCCCCAGGAAGCAGCCCGTCACAGTTGACTAACACCCAGGTACCTATTTTACTGCTAGGTAACAGGGGCATAGGGTGAAAGAAACTCTGCCCATTGTTTCTCGCCGGCGCCTGGGATCGAACCCAGGACCACAGGATCACAAGTCCAGCGTGCTGTTCGCTCGGCCGACCGGCTCCCTGGGCCTAATACACGATATCCGGGGCCTAATATAGTATATATATGTGTGTGTGGTATTCTAGGCCTAGGAATATTTGCGTTTTAACTTCATTTTAAAAGAATTCCTTATTAGTCAGTATACTACTATCTAAAAGCTAAGAACGTACACATTCTGACTATTGACGATCGTCACAATAGGTCCTATCTAAACAGGAGAATGGGTTGCACTATTTGTACACTTATAGCTTGGTTAGTTTTCACAAATTTAAATTAAATTATCTACCAAAGTCACAATAAGATAAGATGTAACACCTATAATTATTTACTGTATACTCATGACCTAGATTCAGAAAGCTACAATTATCCGCGACTTTAAAAATAATTATGGATTAAATTAAATTTAGAATCACTTTAAAATTTTAGATTATGTTAAATTTAGAATCACAATGTGTTATACAAATTACAATAATGATTGAACCATACAGGTGTACAGCAGTCTAAACCAATGAACAATAGATATGATTTTTCTTAAGTATTGCAAATGTCAAAAAAATAACTCAATATCATAGGTAAATTAATTAAAAATGAACCTTTTTGATAAATGTTGATAAAATGAATTGATAAATGTTGCAGGAGCTATATTTATTTTAATAAGAATGTTTTTTTTTTGTTCAAACTGATGTATATCAAGCTTCAAGTCAATATGATGAAGTATATATACTAAAGCCTAATCTGAGACACGAGACATTCTCATCTATCACTGATACAAGTGCAGTGATATGTATGTATGTATATATGTGTGTGTGTGTGTGTATATGTATAAAGTATATGTGGCAGCTGATCAGAGTTACGTTTCGCCTTTGTAAATGCACATTAATGAAAATATGTAAAAGACACATCGAACACTTTATGTAGCATACATAAACCAGTGTATCTATGTACTTACGTATGTAGCATTTTAGCTACATCTTAGCCTAGCATTTTAAAAGCACTACAAACACCTTCTGTGGTTGATTGTTCAATAAATCCCTGAACTATATGTTTTAACAAATCTCTCACCCTGTCCATGAAGAACAGAAGAAAATGTATATATGCTGGTTAGCATTGTAAATGTCTGGCCACGTCTGTGGTAGAAAACAATAATAATAATAATAATAATAATTAAAAAACTGACACAAGACAAGGTCACAACACTACCACCAACCATCATCATTGTATGAACCCAACGCAAACTATGAACAATCTCTGACAATACAATTTTTAAATGGCACTAAAAGCATTAGTAGTCAAGGTCTGAACCATCTTAAATCTCTAAGAACTACGAAGGGAAGGGAACTATCAGGGGGGGAAAGTGCCAAGCCATCACGACTATATAGCACTGGGAAGGGGGTCAGGATAAGGATTTGGAATGGGACGGGGGGGGGGGAGGAATGGTTCCCAACCACTTGTGGACGGTCGGGGATTGAACGCCGACCTGCATGAAGGGAGACCGTCGCTCTACCCTCCAGCCCAAGTGGTTGGACTAAGAACTACGAGCCACAGTACACAATCTTTAGTGAAATGTTAAATATTGCCTACAGTCTCCTTTGGATGCTGAACTAACAAGGCTTAAACGGTGCAATAAAAATCATCAGCGATAAAGACTAGAAACCTCACCTTTGGCTGTTCAGGATCGGAGTAGACATATTCGTTTGGGTAGACGTCGTTAGTCGAGTACGGGCGAGAGATGGAGAAGCCATCACCGTCGTAGAGCTTAGGGACAGCCAGGGCCCAGGGTGCGCCCCCCACCAGTACCGCGGCCACCACCACTGGCCACCACCTGGGAAAACACCACCACATACATGAAGCTACACACGGATCGCGATAAATGATACACACACGCCAGTATAACGTGCTGTTAACTCACACACAAGACTGTTCGACCTCTTTTCACATTGTCAACAGCGTTTCGTTAGGTAAGGGGGTGTTACCCTGTACCATAAATGGTTGTATTTAATATTTCATACAACGAGTCAGACACAGGATATTGGCGACGCCAGACTGTCGGCCCTAAGCATTTATAAAGTCACACTTTTCAAGTGTTAATGTTCACAGGTTGAGTAAAGGTCCGGTCCTCTATTGTAACATATTTGCAGACGGGTAACTGTGTGCGTTCAATCAAAGAAGCCGCTGTCTAGGTGTTGGAGGAAGACCGCCAGAGGAGATCTCATGGTACGCGGTGTCTTTAATTTTGATCTCCAGATCTTAGTGTGGAAAGCACTGAAATTTACCTAAAGAATTCTTTACTGCATGATTTACATGCTTACAGTGGTTACTTGCTACCATCGGATAATATTGTGGTACAGACAAGTTCCATTCCTAGGAAATGTATATGTTTATCTCTCAGAATGTTTGGTAATATGTTTATTGTTTGTGATGTGTGTCTATGTATGTATTAACACGATGTACTGAACGGGGTGAGAATAGCTTGAGCTACCTCATCCCTTTGTGTGTATTTTACCTCAGTAAACTTATTTCAATTTCAGTTCCATTCCTTTTCTTACAAATAACTCTTGAATGGAAGGTGGCAGCATTTTCTACCTTCTTTCAACACTTTCCTATCCCATCCCATTTTCTCTCATTCTAAACTTTCCCTTTCTCCTGACCACTATTCCTCACTCCTCCCTTCCACCTTCCTCACTGAGTTTTCTGCCTCCTTTTCTCCAATTTCAGACACGTTACAATGGAGATGTTACAACCTTCAGTTGTGTTACGTGTGTGTACTTATTCAGCCACTTCAGCACTGTTGTTGCGTCTCAAAACTCGTCCTGTCAGTGGTAATTTATTGTGTACCCTCATACTCACACTCACAGTAGATATGATAGAGCCCAATAGGCTCAGGAACCTGTACACCTGTTGATTGACGGTTGAGAGGCGGGACCAAAGAGCCAGAGCTCAACCCCCGCAAGCACAACTAGGTGAGTACTGAACAGTAGTTTGTGCAACCCATCTTGAGGTTATCTTGAGATGATTTCGGGGCTTTTAGTGTCCCCGCGGCCCGGTCCTCGACCAGGCCTCCACCCCCAGGAAGCAGCCCGTGACAGCTGACTAACACCCAGCTACCTATTTTACTGCTAGTTAACAGGGGGCATAGGATGAATAAAACTCTGCCCATTGTTTCTCGCCGGCGCCCGGGATCGAACCCGGGACCACAGGATCACAAGTCCTGTCCGCTCGGCCGACCGGCTCCCTCAGAACTCAATGTATGCGAGGTAGTTTACCATGTGAGCGGTAGTTTATTGTGCATACTCATCCTGTGAGCGGTAGTTTATTGTGCATACTCATCCTGTGAGCGGTAGTTTATTGTGCATCCCCATACTCATCCTGTGAGCGGTAGCACAAGTGATCTCGAGGGTACAAAAAGCCGATATTCAATATTAACCCATAATTCGTACTCACCCGCTTATATCACAAAGTTTCCTCATTCCCGGCTGGCTGACTCGCTCAATCGGCACTGGTGTATATATATATATATTTTTTCAAACGTTCACAAAACACCCAAAAAACTCCTAAAAATGTTTCTAAATGATTTTTTTCCCTCGATACAACTTAGTTAACGCGATCGCCAGTCTGTTAACACAAGCACCAGGGTACGAGAGTAGCACCTCCACCGGCCGCAGAGTTAAGATAAGCTGCCGCAGCGTCCGGCTCGGGGCTTATATACTGTTTAAACACCCCCTTGTCCGAATATGGTCACGCGTGATACCTGGCTTCCTTATGTACAGTCTACTGTGGAGGCAAACGACCGTCGTGGCTTTTAGAGGGGGATATGGCTTGTAAGTTTACTTTGATGTAATTGGTAATGTAATCGGTAAGCGTAATTTGGTTAGTAATGTTTCTGATTTTGCGAGGAAGTCACTGCCGCAACCTCGTGGTTTCGGACGAGCTCGAAACGTCAACAAAGCAGGGAACCGCGAGTAACCCAGTTCACTGGAAGAGGCATTGCCTACTTTCGGACGAATTGGTTTGCCTTATATTCGGAACATGTTTATCATTGTATCCAGCATTTTCCAACGTGTGCTTTGTGATTACTAACGATCTGAGGGCAAGTGATTAGAGGCATCGCCTACAGCCTGCTGTTAAATACATACCCGCACGCCACTGCCAACATTTCTCAGAATTGTGGCCAACAAATTTTAACCCTTGTGCCCAGATTTTTATTATCTAGATTTTAATTATGAGGAAGTGTAAATACACTACCTACGTCCTAGTGGATAATGAAGAACAGGCAAAGATGACATTCAAGACACATTTGGTTTCCTTAGAAGTATCAAACCGTTTGGAAAACTATAGGCTACTCAAATGATCCAATCACGTCTCTGATAACAAGATATCTTTTTGTTTATAAACTCAATCAATTGCACCATGACACTAATGACGTTGGCAGGGGACATGGTTCATGCCCCCCTTAAGGGGGGCACACACCCCTAAGAGTGAGACGTCCTCTGTGGATTAATTAGGCTTTCTAGTTTGATGTTAGTATTCGAATGGTGTTGTGTGGTGGGAAAATAATCTACCGAGCAGGATTCACCAAGCATTTACGCATTCACTTACGAAACCTGTTCATCTTTCAACAATGATGGCGCCTCTACTTACATTTATTAAACAGATTACGAGCATGGAAACTTCACAACCCAAGATTATTATTGTTATAAACAACCTCGTAGTGCTTCGGAGTTCATAAATTGTTTAATTAATGTAAACAAAGCCGCTATAAATGATGAAAGATGTACAGGTTTCGTAAGAGAACGAGTATATGTTTGACGAAACCTGATCCTGAACTCAGTTTAACTACAGATTATATATCTCGCGCAACAAATGCAAAGAACCATAAACTCTTCATTAGAAGGTTTAAGAATTCGTGGAGTCTCATATAAACACATTCTTTAACCGCTGTAATGTGCACCTGTTTGGGCAAAAAAATCATAGTGCAAGTATTAAGGAGGTATTTTTGTTGTTTTGATAAACGTTCAGGTAAAGTTAATGTCAAAATGTTTCCAAACTCAACTATTTTCATTTCAAAACACAGTGATGAAAACATTAAAAACATAACAATTTAGCCTAATTAAAAAAAAACGCAAGCACAACTAGGTGAAAATACACGCGCGCGCGCGCACACACACACACACACACACACACACACACACACACACACACACACACACACACACACACACACACACACACACACACACACAGGTGGAAACTGAGTGCCCAAATGAGCCACAGAGATATTAGAAAGAACTTTTTTAGCGTCAGAGTGGTTGACAAATGGAATGCATTAGGCAGTGATGTGGTGGAGGCTGACTCCATACACAGTTTCAAGTGTAGATATGATAAGAGCCCAATAGGCTCAGGAACCTATACACCAGTTGATTGACCGTTGAGAGGCGGGACCAAAGAACCAGAGCTCAACCCCCGCAAACACAACTAGGTGAGTACACACACACACACACCAGAGGTTAACATAACAATAAACATGTCTCCTGCAACACAGTGCTATAAAGGAGCCCAGGTGGGTTGTCTAGGGTGATGTTCTGAGGCACTTCCTCTTACATCAGCAACGAGACAAAACGACGTCGTCGAGGAAAGGGTTTGTGTAGAAACAGGAAGGAGCTCACAGCGAAGTATTTTTTTGAGTAACGTCAGAGTTGTTCCCTTAGCCATTTATGGTATTACAATCCCTCCTCACTTCGCTGCAGGAGTACGATGTGGGCCAGGCCAAGGTATGACTCCAGGTGCACAGGAGTCATGACTAGCCGCCAAGGGAATAGACTCGTTCTTTACACACAGAAATCACAATTGCGTGATGCATCAAATGAACAAATCCACAAGGGTCGTGACGAGGATTCGAACCTGCGTCCGAGAGCATCCCAGACGTTGTCTTAATCGACTGAGCTACGACACGGTCAAAAGGAGTTGAAACCGAAGTTCTATTGAACTTACTGGATCCTGCAGCTTCTCCGAAGCACAAACCAATATTTTACACAACTCCCCCCATCGAATCCTCGTCACGGCCCTTGTGGATTTGTTCATTAGACTCGTTCTTCTCAATACTTGCTGACGATGCAAAAGTTATGAGGAGGATTAAGACAGAGAATGATAGTGTGAGGCTACAAGATGACCTAGACAAACTGAAGGAATGGTCAAACAAATGGCTACTAAAGTTCAACCCAAGTAAATGTAAGGTAATAAACCTAGGTGGAGGAAATAGGCCAGACACAGGATACCGAATGGGAGATGAAGTCCTTCACAAACGGGACAAGGAGAACGATCTAGGAGTTGATATCACGCCAAACCTGTCTCCTGAAGCCCACATCAAAAGAATAACATCGGCGGCGTATGCGAGGCTGGCTAATATCAAAACTGCCTACAGAAACTTGTGAAGGGAATCTTTCAGAACCTTGTATACCATGTATGTAAGGCCAATCCTGAAGTATGGGGCCCCAGCATGGAGCCCGTACCTTATCAAGCACAAGACGAAGCTGGAAAAGTTCAGAGGTATGCCACTAGGCTAGTCCCAGAACTAAGAGGCCTAAGTTACGAGGAAAGACTGCGTGAAATGCACCTTACGTCGCTGGAAGACAGAAGAGCTCGGGGAAACATGATCACCACTTACAAAATTCTCAGGGGGAATTGACAGGGTAGACAAGGATGGCTTATTACCATGGGTGGTACACGCACAAGGGAACACAAGTGGAAGCTGAGTACCCAAATGAGCCACAGAGACATTAAAAATAACTTTTTCAGTGTAAGAGTAGTTAGTAAATGGAAGGCATTAGGAAGTGATGTGGTGGAGGCTGACTCCATACACAGTTTCAAATGTAGATATGATAGAGCCTAATAGGCTCAGAAATCTGTACACCAGTTGATTGACGGCTGAGAGGCGGGACCAAAGAGCTAAAGCTCAACTCCCGCAAGCACAACTAGGTAAACACATACACACACATATAGGAGCCTCTCGGCTGAGTAGACAGCGCTCTGGGGTCGTAGTCCTAAGGGCCCGGGTTCGATTCCCGGCAGAGGCATAAGCAAATGGGTAGTTTCTTTGAACCTGGCGCACCTTGTTCACCTAGCAGTAAATAGGTACCTGGGAGTTACACAACTGTTACGGGCTGCTTCCTGGGAATGTATGTGTGTGCGCGCGTTTAAGAGAAATATATGTAGTAGACATAATAGTGGAAACATAAATTGGTTAGAAAGGCGGGGTCCAAGAGCTAATACCTCGAGAAAATTGATAGAATTATTTATTTTCCGGTTGACTGTAGAGGCAGAGTGACGGTGTCCGGTCCCGGCTTGGCCGAGAGGTGCCGAGGGAGTTGGTGGGTATTGGTGAGTACTCCCCTGAGGTCGTGGTGCATCCGTTGTCTCGTTAACGAATGCTTTATTATGGTCCCCAACGAACTAATTACACAATCGACTTGAGAATGGTCCAGGACGGACCGAAACGTCGTCGTCCCTTCATTTTCTAATGTGTGGATTGGTCAACCTACTTCAGCCACGTTATTGTGACTTATCGCCTGCATATGGCACACATAAATCAACGTTTTCTGTACATCGATGGATTAGGTTAGGTGGGCGGCTTGGGTCCGCACGTTTCTGGTTATGCCAGGAGCTTCTACGTTGTACATTGTGCGAGATCAAGAGAACGGGGTACCTGGTGTGTCCTCGGGATGGGTGGTGGGCGTGCGGCTCCTGCTCCGCCGGACGTCACTACATCACTACATCAGGGAGCCGGTCGGCCGAGCGGACAGCACGCGGGGCTTGTGATCCTGTGGTCCTGGGTTCGATCCCAGGCGCCGGCGAGAAACAATGGGCAGAGTTTCTTTCACCCTATGCCCCTGTTATTAGCAGTAAAATAGGTACCTGGGTGTTAGCCAGATGTCACGGGCTGCTTCCTGGGGGTGGAGGCCTGGTCGAGGACTGGGCCGCGGGGACACTAAAAAGCCCCGAAATCATCTCAAGATAACCTCAAGATAACCATCACGCCTCACCAATTTTGTCCGCCTGGGCTCGAGTTCAGGGGGCTGGAGCTATCCGGACTCTGCTCTTTGGCTGCTTCTGTGTTCGACTCCCTAGAATTCCCAGGACACCTTGGGCCTCATAGGTGTCCATAGTCTCTGGGTGTCCATAGTCTCCCGTCGATCAGGTTTCATCCCCTTCATCCTTGTGTTAACAATGACGAATAGAAATTAAACCTCGAAATACTTCGGTGCTTCTCCTTGGAAGGTTTTAAATCTCAGTTGGGTACCAGTTAGCTACCCCTGTGATCCTTCTTTTTTGGAGAGCATTCATGATGAAGTCAGTAGATCGTCGGTCTACGAACTCCGATGATGCGATTGACTGATGAAGATTAAGCCACCAAAAAGGTGGCACGGGCATGAATAACCCGTAATCTGATGATCCTGAATGGTAAATATATATACTTGCTGGGACCTATACGGGGGGATGGGGCAAGGGTGAGTGTTGGAAGCACACAGATGAGTCAGATGTTATTACTGAGAACTAGTCTTAGGTGAGTGATGCCCAGCTGGGCATGGAGGCTTGGTGCCCACGTCGCCATTCATGGCTCCATGAGGATGTGTGATGAAGGTCAGCTACGCCACTCAACAGATAAACGAAAGGCAGGACCGGG